GAAACTCATCAGCTGAATCCAACCCACTTTGCAATGGATAATAGGACATTTTTGGAAGTACCACTAGAAGCCCAGTCTATGTGGTTTTCTCTGAAGTATAAGTGGGGTTAATTTGTATGCTAGTAAACATATGGTGTACAGTTTTATAGCAGAATGCTCTGCCTGTCTAGTTGGAAAAAAGTCCAATTGAAGTCTGTGGAGCTTGTTTGTTTGTTTGTTTGTTTGTTTGTTTGTTTATTTATTTATTTATTTATTTATTTATTTATTTATTTATCTATCCCATTTATACCCCGCCTATCTGGTCATTGCGACCACTCTAGGCGGCTCATTAGTAAATATTGACTAAAAGTGTTTGCTACACTATTTTTTGCCAAGTAGGACTACTGAAGCAATATACAATAAAACAGGTTTAAAAAAATTAAAATCACACCAAAAACCATGTTTAGAAACTAATTTATTTTTTTAAAAGTCTTTAAAGCTTAAGGATATGATTTATTAATGCAGGGTGGTGGGTGAGACACAGTATATCTTGTGTTTGTATCAATCTACTCTGCCTGGATGGTAGGATGTGTAACAGAGTCTCTGGTGAAGATCTCTAAATTTCAGGCACACTCATATAGGAAGGAACAGTGTTTCAGCTGGCTCCAAACTGTATGTATAGGACAGACTGAGTTACTCTTTCATCACCAGCATGGTTTTCTTAACTGGTTGTCCTGGTTTAGTTATTTAAAGATTTTATTTTAGTTAACAGGTGCTATTAACACATTGAGAAGCAGCGAGTGCTTGACACATTGGAACACAACCACAGATGCATTTGACATGTAGTGTGTATTTTGCTTGTATACATGTTTGTTTAATCTGGCCTTTATTCCAGTGGGACTCAACTGATCTATGCAGCTATAATTCCCGTAACTAATTTTAGATATGTGTGAGGTCTTGTATATCAAGGATCTGGAAAATATCAGCCAGACTTCCTGAGCCTGCTATAGAATGATGGAAGGGTGGAGCACCTGCTTTACGTGCAGCAGGTCACAGGTTCATCTCTATATAAAGTGAGGGAAAACTCCTGCCTGAAAGCCAGGAGAACCATTGGTGACAACTGAGTTAGATGGACGAAGGGTTTGACTTTCTCTTTTTTTTTTGTTTGATGAAATTCACCTTATAAAATTAATGTTCTTGCATGATGTTGCTCCAGATGCAAACTACCTGCCCAATGTACCCTTAAGGCAAGCTTTCCACAGCTTAAAGTTTTCCATGTACATAGGACTACATAATCTATCACCCCCAACCAAAAAAGGTTGGGACAGACTATGTTAAGGTGTTGACCATGTATACACCCTGGACTTTCTTGCGCTGCTCAAAGCTATCAATCCAAGTTATGATCCCCACACTGTGACACACACACACATTTTCCTTAATTTCATTTCACATCCCAGTTAACAGTGCTCAGAACTGAAGTCCTGACAGACCACTTCATATATAGGCTTCACCCATAGCTATTTCTTGGTCGTGTTTTTATTTGTCCTCCTTTTGACAGACTTATGTTGTTGTATGTATTTCACAGCCATACTTACTTTTGATATAGCTCTGTAGAGGCAAATCTGCACTCAAGTCGTTAACTTCATGCCAATGTATATATATTTTCTTCATGATGGAAATTAATAAAATTGATATATAATGATGCATCACAGGTGTCTTGTTTCTGAACTGAAGATGCTAACCACTACACAGATGATGATGTAACTCTGAGCAGGAATGGCCAGCTTCTTTGGGAAGGCATCTTAGATGCTCTCTGGCCAACCTTCTTAGGCATCTTAGATGCTCTCTGGCCAACATCTTAGATGCTCTCTGGCCAACCTTCTTGCTGTTTTAAGCAATCCAAAAATAATATCATTCTATTTCAGACGAGCATGATCAGGAAACGTCCACTCAACACTCTTTCCAGTCAAAAAAGAAACAACATCCCAGAGGAAATATGGCTTTGTGGTTCCTCTTTTGCAACCCTTCCTTAGGTGAAGATGCTCTCTGGCCAACATCTTAGATGCTCTCTGGCCAACCTTCTTGCTGTTTTAAGCAATCCAAAAATAATATCATTCTATTTCAGACGAGCATGATCAGGAAACGTCCACTCAACACTCTTTCCAGTCAAAAAAGAAACAACATCCCAGAGGAAATATGGCTTTGTGGTTCCTCTTTTGCAACCCTTCCTTAGGTGAGAATCCTTTTGTGAAAGCCAAATGGCCCTGGGGAACCACAGTGATGTCATGGGCTATATATGGCATCTCATTTTACTAGGAAAGCTGTCAAGATCACGCCCAACCTTTATCTTTCTAAGATAAAGGGTGCAAAGAGAGCGTATTTCACTGTCAGGATAAGCAAAGCTTCCAACCAGCAGCTGGAGTCATTCCATATAGTACACAACCTATCCGGAATTGGTCACAGTGATTGGCCTCCCCCTAGTATTTCACCTGACCAATTTGCAGCTTTTATAAAATCTAAAGTGGAGGCCATCTGCTGGGATCTATCTCCCTATTTGAAGCCAGTAGATCAAGCAAAGACATCTAGCACTTTGTCCTGTCCAATGAAGATCACTCACTTTCAGCTGGTAACGTCACTTGAGGTTGACAAGGTGCTTGACTGCTGCCATGCCACAATCTCCTCTCTTGACCCTTGCCCGGCCTGGCTAATCGAAGTGGCCAGGCCCATAACGACTGAATGGGCCACTGCTATAATAAATGGGTCTCTCCAGGAGGGCAGGTTTAACCCCAAGAGAGGCCCAGAAAGAGAGAACAAGAAACCGGGCCTTCTCAGTGGTGGCTCCTCATCTTTGGAACACCTTACCACTAACACTCTCATTGGAAATTTTTAAAAACACGTTGAAGACTTGGTTCTTCTGACAGGCCTTCCCCCCTCCCATTACATAGCTTCTTTATCCCATCTTGTTTTCTTTATTGATTTTTCTGCTTTTTATCATCTAAGTTATTTTAATGCTGCCAAAAATAAAGTAAAGAGGGAAGTGGTGCAAGAGGGAATATAGCCCTCTGGGGGCCCCAAAATAGCAAAAATGGCACCCAGGTGCTTGGTTTAGAGAGTAAAGCTCTCCTGGAGTAAGTGGTTGGGCTCAAAATATTTAGAATATATTGTTTTCCTTTAGTAATCAGCTTTACACAAAACAAAATGAAACATTACAACTTTCAATTTTTTTGGTGTCACTATGAAACTGTAGATGGGTGGATAGCTCAGTGGATTTGGAATCTGACTGTGGAGCCAGAGGTTGAGAGTTCAATTCCCCACTGGGCCTCCTATGAGTACAGGCAGCCTGTGTGGCCTTCTGCAAGCTGCACAATCACAGGGCACACACACACCCAGAAGAGGGGAATGGTAAACCACTTCTGAGTATTCTTTCTACCTAGAAACCCCTGGAAATGGTTGCTATGAGTCAGAATTGACTTGGTGACACATGTTGATGATGATGATTAAACAGTAAGAGGAAGTAAATGTAGTGAATCTGCTCTGGGGTTTATAGTCTGAACTTTAAAAGAGGTATCGAAGTGGTGAACCTATTTTGGGGATAGGGCATAACTCCTTTGATAGCTCCTGCAAAGTTCAGAATACAAACTAGAGCAGATTCACCACCCCTATGGAATCAGAGTCCTTAGCCTCAACATCAGTAAGGCTTTCTTCCAAGGGAGTATGTATGTGATTGCTGCGTGTGTCATCATACGGCCTTTTATAGATCAGGATCTTGAGTTGGTTTGCTACAGGTTTGGGGCCCAGCCTGAGAAACTTTGGTTTCAAATACTGTACGCCTTTAACTGAGCTGCCTTGTATAAGCTCTTTTTTCTTTAAGCATACTAAACCAGATGCTCACAGCAAGTGGAGGGAATCCTGATGAAGATGATGCCTTCCATATTCTGACTCAGGAACCATATATGCACTTTCAATGTGTCTTTAGATGCACATGGAAAGGTACATTAAAATACACAGTCCATGTTGCATTGCTTTTCCCAGACACCATTCACATGCAACAAGGCAACTTTTTATGCCTGGAGCAGGACCAGAATACTCACTGACAGTAATTCAGAATATTAACTATATGGCTGGATTTTTCTTTTTCTTTCAGGTCACTAATGTTATGTTCTAATCACACTTACACACATAAAACATAGATGCTGACTTTGTGTCAGTGATCTTTTAACATTCTGTGGAAAAGGCATCATAGTCTCTGGAGTTTATCTGGAATGAAAAACTGCACAGATTTCCATTTTAACCCATTTTGTGAAAACTGCTTGAAACAAAGGTTCCCAGCCTTGGCACCCCAGGTGTTCTTGGATTGCAACTCCCAGAAATCTTGGTCAACACAGCTAGCAGTGAAGGCTTCTGGGAGTCTTAGTCCAAGAACACCTGGGGAATCCAAGCTTGAAAACCACTGGTTTACAGTTAGCAACAGCTACAACTGGAGTGAACTGAATCTTGTTTAGGTCCCACTGAAGTCAATGTACATTGTTCGCAGCAACTAAGCAGGTCCTTTGATCTCACAAGGTTTTAAGGATGACTAATTTTAGTTCTAGTGGAGGCCCTAAAGATTTTAGGACTTAAGTAGATATTTACATCTTCATCCTTGTTTCTACCTACAGTCATTCCATTTGGGATTATTTTTCTACAGATTACATACATACATACATACATACATACATACATACATACATACATACATACATACATACATACATACATACATACATACATACATACATACATACATACATACATACATACATACATACATACATAAGCTTACATAGCTTTATTCTTTCTTTATTCTTACTATGCCATTAGTAGGGAGAGTCAATATACATTTTGCTCCTGTAAGACTGTTCTTCGCAGACATACACTCTTTCTGCTCACTTTGAGCAAGAAATGACAGTAGCCTGGATATGCTGCACTGTGATGGCACAATCAGAACAAGATGATGTAATAGCATTCTCAGTGTACAAAGACATCATAATTCATCACTGCTATATAGGGCTGAAGTCATGATTTTTCCTCGGGAGAGAGGAAGTGGAGAAATGGGATGAGGCTTATAAACCTCACTTCGGTAGCCCCTAATCATCTCCAGTAAGAGTGCTGATAATAAGTAATCCAGTATTTCTGAACACATTCCGCCATGGCGCGCTACAAGCATCTCCGTGCAAAAACGCGGAATTCTCTTGACTTACTCCAGCTGACTTCTTTTGTTCCTGAAACTCCTGCTTTGGATAATAAAGCACGCCTGTAAGTAATGGCAAACACCTTCAGTTATGTGTTTGGAACAAGCAAGTAGGTGGCATAGGGGGAAACTCTTCTGCTAATTTGCTTCTTAGCATGGTAAGTCTGTAGAATCTAGAATCTCTGGTGATGCCAGATAATTCTCTATGATAAATTTAAAGGGAATGAAGCAACAGAAAATTCTCAGGGGATATGGCAACCCGTTCAGCTCAGTTTGTCCCTTATAAACTTGCTGTCTATAGTCATTATGTGAACTATCCCTTTTTCAGCTTTACTAAGATGTGGGGGCTACCATATGTTAAATGTATAACATGCAGCTGAAAATTATCTTCCTTTGACTCAAAAATGTGTAGGCTGTGATGCAGAAATGTAGTCACAAAGTCACAAGACTTACACTCTGTCTATCTCCTTTCTGAGTGCACTTCAGATTTTGACTTAGCTGCAGTTCTTGAAAGGGCAAAGACCAAGGAAACCCTTCATCTGGAGACCAGTCCCCCACCCCATCTGGCTTCTTGCACAGCTTATGAAATGGATGATTAAGGGAAATGTAAACCTTCTATCATCTATGTTAGGTACTTCCATGAAACAACTATTTGCAGCTTTTTAAAAATGATGTTGTGACCCACCTTTAATCCTTAATTCATTAAACTCCTCTACATTTTTAATACTCTAAATTCACCTTTACCTTGCACAGGGGCTAAGGGAGTTCAATGGCCCCATGAAGCCCCTCCCCTATGGGAGAACATTCAGTTAATCAAAATTAGCTTTGGGCAACTTTAAGCCTGCTCTATCTGTATGTGATGGGTCTGAGCCAGACTGGGCCCCTACATCCCCACTTATGAGTATAAAGGAAATACTATTCAGCTGCATGATATTCATTTAACATAGTGAGTGAAAGCAGTCTGTTTTCCTAAATATTTTGTTTATATGCACATGAAAGAGAAGAATGACCTTGAACAAAGGACAACATGAATCCAGAAACATCTCAGCTTCCTCTTTCCGTTCTTCTTTGATCTATGCAACATTGACGGTGTCTCTTTCATCTTCAGTTATCTCCTGTCAGCTCCCTTCGTATCTCTAGGAGGACTTTCTCCAAATGAAAAGGAGATAGCAAAGGTAGGTGTGTCAAGTCAGAGCTGAGAGAAATAGCTGACCAGCCTTGTAAGAGTATGACACAATGAATGTTTGGTCCTGGTTTGAGCTCCTGTGGGTGTGCTCTTGTACATACCTTGTTAGGAGCAAATTTAAATTCAGTGGAACTTTGTTCTGAGTAGACATGCACGAAACTGTGCTGTGAATTCACATAAGGACTGGAGATTGCATTCCCATACATCCACAAAAATTGACATGCAAAAAGAGTGAAACCTATGCCCCTCAACTACAACTTACTTACTTACTTACTTACTTACTTACTTACTTACTTACTTACTTACTTACTTACTTACTTACTTACTTACTTACTTACTTACTTACTTACTTACTTAGAATATTTTTACCGCGGCTTTGTCCTTAATAGGATTCAAAATCTCAAAATCGTGAAGACAAAGAAAGGCCACTAGGGAGCTACAGTCAATATTTAAAATTTTTTGGTTCCTGCCACTCCACACACCGCAAGCAGAGTTTTAAAACATTACATTTTGGGACAACCGCTCACAAAATCTTCCCACCAACAGATTCACCAGATTCTTAGCCCACAGGCCTCATGCCCTTCCTCGCTCCACTTCTAGAAGCAGCATGGATTTTCTTCTTTTCCTAGGCTCACGGTTGAGAAACTCTACAATGCCTCCTCCTCCCTTCAAGCCCAGTCCCCTGTCTTCTTTCTTTGCCCCACCTCCCCAGCACTAGTGATTTGGTTTCATTTCTCTTTTCCCACATGGCTGCGTGCAGCTCATGCTGATCTGTTGTCCTTTCAGAAATCAGATCTAGACTAGGGGTTCCTAGCATTGCTGGACAAGTACCATTTAGAATATTGAGAATGTCCCGTGGGTGCTCTCAGGAAAATGGATGTCATAAAGAGGCAGAATTTGTACATTCACAAAATGGCTGCCATGACAGCCATGGCAATTCACAGAATACCCATTTCCTAGAGAGCAAGCCATAGATTTTGAAAGGCAAGTAGCTCATTGAAGAGTAACAAATTGTAAAGAAAAAAGGACAACTATAACAAAACCAGAAGCAGGCAACCACACTGACCAGGCACCTCCCCGTTTTATTGCTTAACAATTCCTCGAGTGCCCACATGAGGCCCCGTGGCATTTTTGGAAATAAATATCATATTAAAGGCTCATAATTTCAACACTGAACTTTGGAGCATGCCAGTCTCCCTGTTGTTGGTGGTGATGGTGGTGTTTTTATTAGTGATCATTATTAGTTTAGTTTATTTATATGCCACATCTCTCCCAACAAGGGACCGAAAGGAAAAACTGAAACAAACAAAATTAGGAGATGCAACTGATGGGCACCAAAAGGACTGTCTATATTCATCATCATGAGCTCACATATAGATGAACTGATTGCTTATTTTTTCCCCACAACTCCATAGGGCAACAACATTTTAGAAATGACATTCCTTCTTTAGGAATTACAATATTTATTAGTATCCAAGAAAATCATATAAGGTCAGGCAATTGGTGACCAAAGATTCTCCACATATACATTGGTGCCAGGAGGTAGAAGCAAGGAGTGGCAATGGAATTTGTCCCCTCCTGAATTCTACATTCATTATTTTGAACTACACAAAGAGATGCACTGTGTATTAATGGTATGTACTCTGAAGAGATGCCTGGTGATAATTTTAAGGGGCAAAAGTCATTGAGAGCTCATTCATTTGACCAAGCACTCCAAGTAGAACAGGCCTCCATATGAGGAACTCTTTGCCCATTGCACATGTAAGTGACCAGCTATCCTGCTGAAAACTCCATCAGCCCTAACAAATTATCATGATCAGGCATTATAAGAATTGTGGTCAAAAACATCTGGAGTAGGGTAAGGAGCCTTTTGCCCTCCAGATACGTTAGACTACAAGTTCCATCATTCTCATCCAGCAGGGCCAGTAGTTACAGATTTCAGGCATTCTGTTTGATAATATCTGGAAAGCCAAATCTTCTCCATCCTTGATCTGAGAGACACCAAATAGCTTGTTTTTGGTCTCCCCATGTTTCTCACAACCACCATTTTCATTTTAAAAACACAAACTTTGAGAACGTATATATTTTTGCTTTATTAGTCCTGGGTGGAAAAGATGGGAGGGTGGGTGAGTTGCTATGTGGGCCATCTCTGGAAAAGGAAAACAAAAACAACAGTAAGCCCTTAATCATAAAACAGATATGTGCCAGACAAAGACTTTTAAGGAACTTACAGGAAATTTTGTTAATCCTATCAAAATTCATTTCATTTGCTGAAAAATTCTTTCTTTGTTTCACTTGAGCAAAAATCTCCACATTCATATCATTCTTTGTGTGGAGTGGAATTTTTGTGGCAATTCTAGTTGAAAAGTGTTATTTTTCAGTTATCATTGAAATATAGATAGCAACCTGATTTAATAATGCTTATTTTAATTATTGGGGCTGAGAACCTATAACAACTTCTTCTGCCTTTCTGACAAGCTTAAATCTTTTCTTGACAGTTTAAACAATGTAAGAGAGAACATTCTTATGCTTAAGAACATAAAGGAAGACTTTCTGAGGGAACTGTAGATGGAACAGCATCTAGAGAGAACCAGGCTGGGGAAGGCTGGCCTGGTCTAACATCCTGTTTCCTGTAGAGACCAACTAGAAGTTTCCAGGAAGCTCACAAACAGGCTGTGAAGGTCACAGTTCTGTCGTTGCCCACCTTCAAGTAGTACCCAGTAACATGGTACCCCTGAATCCTGGACTCATTCCTCTTAATTAAATAAACTCCTTCAATATACGCACAGCATTGTTTTTGAAATATGTTTCATGTGCCTGTTTTAGATTGTACCACCCTTGAAAACACGTTTCTTCCGCAAGCAAGCTGGACTCACCAATCGCTGCCAGTTTGCATCCACCACAAGTTGTGACCTACTAGGAATTGCACAAGCAAGAAAGGCCACCCGGGTTGGTCTCAATGAGACCCTGATGAGAATAATGTCAGGTAGGATGCTAATTAAAAAATATTGAGTACCTTTTTAAAGTAACGGAAGCCCTCTTATTCAACTTCTATCAGGCAAAATGGCTAGTTGCATTTGAGGTGTGTGGTAGGGTATAAAAATGTGCTGCTCAAAATGCAATATGGATGTGAAATTACTTTATTGGAGCAAACGTTCATTCAAAAATTGCTCCACTCCAAAGCAACTGGGAATTTGAAAGAAAGTGTTTGAAAACCATAGAATTCAGTATGGGGAAAGAAAGAATAATTTGTTATTTCATTACCTCCCCCACCCCCAAGACCAGAGCTAGTTGGTGATTATACGAGTGAAATATTTCATGAATGTGTGACAGTCATACCAGGAATTTCTCTGACCTCCAGCAGTATGCAGATTGGTGTGCTTTGTTTGGTGATTGGTCTTCTGGACCTCAACACAGGATTTATTTGAAACCAGACTTCACAAGCAGAAAATGACTGCCTTGATCACTTGTTTACATTAATATGCTTTCAGCTCTAATTATAGACTAGAGACTGGAGATTCATATTTGTACTAGAAATGAAGCCCAGTTCTGCAGGTGATACCAATTCCTTTCCCCCATGCCCAGAACCAGCCAGCCCACTTACCAGGCTCCACGCGGTGCAAGGATCTGCAACAATTCAAGAAGGAATCTGGCCAGCTGTCACTTCCTCCTCAGGCAGCCAACCACTGCAGCATGGAGTCTCCTCAATTAGCCAATGAGTGGTCAGCTGTGTGGGGAGGTGGGGAAGAACTGGCTGGGCTCCTTCCCAAATTGATGCACAGGTATTGAAGGTGGATCCCTGCAGCATGTGTAGTCCAGTAAGTGGACTGGCTGGTTCTGGGCATGGAGGATGGGAAGCAGTGCCACCTGCGGTAACAGACTTAATTTCTAATAATAGGAGGCACCCATCTCTATTACAGACTTTAAGTCTTGTTCCTGTGCAACCTGTATGGAGATTCAGTTCACACAAACAAGACATGAATAATAAATCATTTCCCTGAAACCCTCACCACCATCCCATCTAGCTCTGATATAGGCATGAAATAGGGATTAGGCAAATAGGGCTCCAGGACACAGTGTGGCAGAGCCAAACACCACCCATATTTTTTTTTAAAAAAGGTAGGAATTGATCCAAAGACTTGAGCAAGTGGGGAGACAATTTCAACAACATCTGTCACTTCTCTTAAAGTACCACCATCACTACCAATAACAATAAATCAGAACAGGTAGTTGGTATTTGTTTCTTATGGACAGAAACATTAACAGTTGCAGAAAGGCATTATCAGGAGAAGTGACATGAAACCCTTTGATAAAGTTGAAGTTCTCTGTATACTTTTTAGTAGTTCTGTTAAATGTGGGCAGTGGGGGCTCACTACAGTCGTTGCATGCATAGGATGGGTTGTATATTTCATAGAAGCATAGATATGTACACTTGGAAGTCACCCACTCAAACTACATGCCAAGGAAGGAGGTCCACAGATAGAGCATCTCCCAAGTGGCCATCTAGCCTCTGTTTATAAATCTCAAACAAATTAGAGGCCAACACCTTCCAAGGGCATAATATGTTCCATGGCCAAACATCCCTTGCCATCAGGTTTACCTGAAACCTTCCTTCTCAAAATGTGAATCTCTTGGTTTGGATCCTAGCCTCCTGAGTTTACTTAGGAAATCTGAACATTTATGGGAGTACCTTCATAAAATGGTATCACCCATCTTCCTATTGCATTTGTAGCTACTCAAACAAAGTAGTCCCATCCCAGATGAAAACACAAACAGAGGAGGTATGTAATGAAATGGTTAGGATAGTGGGCTGGAACTGTGGGAATTCAAGTTCAAGTCTCTGCTCAGCCATGAAATTTGGTCGTGTCTTGGGCCAGACTTTGACAGCTTGGCTGAGTTGTTGTGAATGTAAAGCAGTGGAAGGAGCGCTGTAAACATTACCTTGAGCTTGTTTGAGAAAATACAGCATATCATCGTAACTAGCAGAAACAAAACAAAAACAAAATTAGTGATAGCAGACCATGCAGATCCTGCTTCTATTTTTATTTAAATCCAAGGAAATCCTAGCAGATGCATACAGTACTTAACTGTATTAAATTCTGTACTTACATACCAGAATTTATTAGAATCTCTTCCATAAGTAAGCCTGAAAATATCGATTATCTTTTTTTCTTTCTTTCAGGGGAAGTACCTTCTCCGTTTTAAACCTGCCAAGGAGTCTTGGTGTAGGCTTCATGCCAACTGTAGGGGGAGTGCTGCCTCTCAGCTATCCTAGCTGACAGCCTCTGATGTTCTACCCTGAAAACAATGCAGCTAGTCCTAATCCTTGATATACAGCATGACTTTGTTTGTTTTAACTCTTAGCTGACACACCTGTTTCCCTATGTGAAGAACAAAAGACCTGGAAGACAAGTGAAGAAATTGAGAAAAAGACTAGTTCACATACTTTTACAACTATACCTTCAAAACAAATTCATAGACCCAGGTAACACTTCATGAACTGTGCCTTTACTGTTCATTATATAGCCTAGGGTAGGAAATAGCTTACCTGTGATGGAGAATATATTATACCAAAATAGCTAAGATATATAAGTTCTTTATTTTTGACAATGTGTGCCCCAATGATAGAATGTGTGCATCACTGTTTTCCTAACTTTTGTACATGTGCATATGTGTGTAATCGTTGTGTCAGATGTGTAAAAATTAGAGATGGAAAATAAAAGTTAAACCACTGTTCAAAATTGCTGTGATGCCATGAGTCCTGGGACTAGATTATTAATGATCTTCTGTTTCAAGACGTGTGGTCTTCATTTTGATAATTGCCATTATGTCACCTAGGCATTCTGTGATAAGATCCAGATTTGAAATACAGTGGTGCCTCGCTTAGAGAGGTTAATCCGTTCTGGATTAACCCTCGCTCAGCGAATCCATCGTTAAGTGCAACAAAAAAGTCCATAGGAACGTATTAAAACTGATTTAATACGTTCCTATGGACTTAAAATTCACCGTTCTGTGAGTTTTCTCCATTGCGGCGGCCATTTTGGATGCCTCGTTAGCGAGGCAAAACAGCGGTCGCCATTTTGTTTTAGCGGCGGCCATTTTGGAACCGCCGATCAGCTGTTCGCTATGCTTTGATCGCGTCTGCGTGATCATCGCATAGCGAAAAAAGCCCATAGGGACCATCGCTGAGCGAATGCTCCAGCGATGGCCCGGGACCCATCGTTGTGCGGTTTCATCACATAGTGAAGCGTTCGCTATGCGAGGCACCACTGTACTAATAACAGTATCTGGGAAAGATGTCATATGCCAAAATCTTGTTCCTTAGCACAATAAACTGCACTAGAGTATGGCTATTGAATCAACAAGGATTTGGTGAGTCAACTCCTTCATAAGTTTCATTAATTCAAATGGGACTATTTTAACTGCTATTTATTTTAGCATAGTAAGTTTCATCTTGAGTATGCCCATCTGAATCAATTAAACTTATGGAGGGATTGACTCACTAAATTCTCATGAGACTACTTTAGTGCAATTTCTTGTGTTAAGGAACAGAAATTTGACCATAGAGTCTTCTTAATGGAATTATGCCATAGTTCTTGTTTCCTTTATTACACCGAGATCACTAGTCCATCTGACCCATGACTTTTAAACTGATTGACTGTTCTTATTTGTTTCTTTAGACACATCTTTTCACTCACTTGCTTTTGATTTTTTTTAACTGCCGAACCCAGGAATGAAAAAAGGGACTTCCTCCATATGCAAAACACAGAATATGATATTTAAATGTGCAAAATATTAATTTATTTCAGATACAGTGGTGCCTTGACTTATGAATTTAATTGGTTCTGGAACTCCGGTCATAACTCAAAATGGTTGTAAGTCGAAGTACCATTTCCGATAGGAATGCACTGAAATGCAATTAATCTGTTCCAGCCGAAGAAAAAAAATCACAAAAATAACAAAAAACACTGCAAGACCCATTGGAAATGTGATTAATCAGTTCCGACCAAAGGGAAAAAAAGAAAAGAAAAGCAAACAAAGCGTGCAAGACCCTTTGGAAATGCAAAAAAAAGCAAAGCAAAAAGCAAACAAACCATGCAAGACTCATCGGAAACGTGATTAATCCGTTCTGGCTGAAAGGGGGGAAAAGCAAACAAGCCATGCAAGACCCTTCAGAAATGTAAAAAAAGCAAAGCAGAAAGCAAACAAACCATGCAAGACCCATTGGAAATCCAAAAAAAGCAAAGCAAAAAGCAAATAAACCCCGCAGGACCCAATGGATATGGGGGGGAAACCCCAAAAACCAAACAAACCCCACAAGACCCATTGGAAATGGGGGGAAACCCCCAAAAGCAAGCAAACCCCACAAGACTCATTGGAAATGGGGGAAAAAACCCATAAAGCAAACAAACCCCGCAAGGTCCATTGGAAATGGGGAAAAAACACAAAAAGCAAAAAAACCACAAAAAACCGCAAGACCCATCAGAAATGGAGGAAAAAAAAAAACCCACAAGACCCATCAGAAATGGAGGAAAAAAACCCAAAAACAAACCCTGCAAGACACATCACAGCATAGAAACATAATCCCACCACCCATCCCAAAAGCACACTGCAAAACCCACCCCGAACAGTTTTTAAAAAGTAGAAAGCAGCACCTTACTTAATAGGCAGTCCGAAGCCTCCTCCAATCACACACTCTCTAACCGCTGGGGCGAAAGAGCTGCAAAGAAGCAGCCTCTTCGCCACCAATGGTTAGCAATTTGAATTCCCTGCCTTTTTCTGATTGTAACTCGAAGCTCTGGCCGCAAGTCGAAGCAAAATTTTGCCGCCAGAGCTGGTCGTAACTCGAAATGGTCATATGTCGGGATGTTTGTAAGTCAAGGCACCACTGTATTAGGCATTCCTTAGGGTCTGCAGATGCTTTGTTACCAGTATTCATCCACTCTGCTTTCTATAATGGCAGGCTCTTCTGCTTCTTAAAGTTGTGTCTTGCAGATCCATGGATAGCACAAATGTATCTAAACTCTATTGTAGAATGTAAATTCACTTGAAAGAAAGAGGAGAAACTAAGTTAAACGGGAAAAAAGATTAAATAATCTCTTTACACTTTTTTTCTTGAACTGAAGAAGTCAATCTAAGCTTTGTACAGAGCATAATAATCACCTTTAAAAATCTGTGTGTATCACTTGAGCAACAAATCGGAAATGACCAAAATCCTATTGGTGATTTATGCTTGGGTAAGGAAATTGTCATAAGTCTTGGCGGCAAAGTGTTGCTTATCAACAAGGTGCTGGTTGTATCCCTGGGCACATTAGGTAAATACCCGGGATCACATTGAACAGCTCATTTATGCCCAGTGTTTTATCTCCTAGATTTATGCAATTTCCCTTACACAAGCATAAATTGGCAATGGGATTTTGGCCTCATTCTTTTTGCACATGGGATTTGATTCAAAGAGTCACCCCAGGTTCAAAATCATGTTTTTAAAATAACTTTTTGAACTACAACATCTAGAATCCTCAACCAACATAGTCAGCGCTAGACAGGGATTAAGTGAAGTTTAGTTAAAAAGAAGGAATTTCCCTCGCTCTGGTTATATGATTCCCACATCCTAAAGGACAGGAGTGTTTGTTTGTTTGTTTGTTTAACTTGTATGCCACCTACACTACCCAAAGGTCTCTGGGTGGCATATAAGTTAAATAAATTGCCTTTTAACAATGCTATGTTAAGAGATAGCATCGCTCCCCACCCTCCTGAGCTTCCGTAAACAAGTGAAAACCTGGCTTTTTACCCAGGCCTTTACAAACATCATCCCTTTGTAATATCAATTTTGTACTTAGTTTATGCTGGCCATGGTTTGCTGAAAGTGTTTTTGTTTTTGTTTTCACATGCTCAATTTTGTGTGTGTGTGTGTTATATGCCCAGCGTAGTGGCTTGTCTACTAAGTGGGCAGGGTACAAGTTAAAAGAAACAAACAAAATAAAATAAATTGTGAGCATTCATCTCCCCACTTCCATAGAAGATAAAATATGTTGCTACTGTATATTGTTGTAAGCACTGAGCTTTTCAACTTTGGAAGAGTTGGGCAAGGGTTTTCATCTCCCCACTAAAGATTCATTCTTAAGGGCTGAGAGATGCTCTGGAATAGAATGCAGTAGGCCACTGGTTCTTAACCTTGGATTACTCAGGAGTTTTGGACTGCAACTCCCAGAAGCCTTCACCACCAGCTGTGCTGGCTGGGGTTTCTGGGAGTTGCTGTTCAAAAACATCTGAGTAACAAAGGTTAAGAACCACTGCAGTAGGCAATGAAGGTGGCTGCAGAAGGAATGGAGAATTTCAAAACAATGGAGGCCTTTCCCTTTGCAAGTGGAAGTACTTTGCCATTTGTGTGCAATATCTGTTTGGCAAAGCCATTACGTGCAGTGAAGTCTGATAATCAAATGTTTTCTCACAGTCACCTCCTAAAGCAGTGATTCTTAACCTTGGGTTACTCAGGTGTTTTTGAACTGCAACTCCCAGAAACCCCAGCCAGCACAGCTGGTGCTGAAGGCTTCTGGGAGTTGCAGTCCAAAAAGCACTTGAGTAACCCAAGGTTAAGAACCACTGTCCCAAAGCACCCCCCAAATATGCTTTTTCCCTTACAGTAGTGAACACCATCCACACAAAAGATTGTTTGCTTAGCTAGTCTTAGCTCATTTGGGCTGACCTGTGCTTTCACATATATCCCAGTGTAGACTTTACACTTCCACCTCTTCTACTCTGTTTCTTGCTTCACAGATTCATGTTTTATTATTTGTATTTCCAATATGTCACTTAGTGTCCATAGAAGATAAAATACAGTATGTTGCTACTGTATATTGTTGTAAGCATTGAGTTTTTCAACTTTGGAAGAGTTGGGCAAGGGTTTTCCCCAAGATTAATTCTACTTCTTGTCCCTTTTTTGACACCAAGAATCTTCTACCGCCACAGAGATCCCAATGAGATGCTCTTTTCATACACACAGAAGATCACAGAAGGGATGGAGCCAGGTGAGTAGTACTTCCTGAGGCGCACGTGTTGCTATGACTGGCCTAACGTAGCTCAAGCATATCATTGTCCACTCTTTCCATCTTTCTTTTCAGATGTAACACTGACGTGTTTGGACTTTGAATGGGAACTTCATCGCATGTACTTATTTAAATCCAAGGTCCTCTCACAGCTTCTTGCTCAAGCTCTACAGAATAGTGACTTACCCATTACAGAAAGCAATGCCAAAGTCAAAAAGGGTATTGGAAGGAATTCCACAATGTTTGTTTGTCTATATGTTTCCTTGGCATTAATCACCTGTGGGCTCAAATGAGCCATTAATGCCACACTCTTTTGTGTGTGTGTGTGTATTTAATATCATAAATCTGACTAAACTCTTCCTGTATTCCCATTTTTTAAAAAAAGCAGAAATCAGGTGTTACAGTAAACAACATCAGCTGTCTGGCTGGAAACATAAAGACGTGTTTGAACAGAAGCAAAGATTGCCCAAAGTCACAATTGCCTTGGAGATTAATGATCCCGATGTCACACGAGTTGGTAATAATGCCTTTGTCTTTGATACTGAGATTAGCTACAAATGGCAACAATGCAGCTCTGTAGATTGTCTGGGAGTTGGGAAAGGTGTTCTGCCCTTCTTTGGGCTGTGTGAAGAAATTGGGGTATATATACCCAGAGACCTTTGGGCAGAGTGGGCAGCATATAAGTTAAATAAATAAATAAATAAATAAATAAATAAATAAATAAATAAATAAATAAATAAATAAATAAGTGATGACCTTTTATGACACCCCAGATCTTTTCCCTGAGGACGGTTCCTTGCAATACCTAATGGTAGGACAGGCTCCGTATATCATTGCTCCAAGGATTGCTTAGGTTGTCTATATTTTGTTGTCAGCCACGCAGTCTGATAGTCCATGTACAAGAGTGCTGTTCCACTGGCTATTGGAAGAGGGGATGAGATGGTGCCTAGCAGAGTTTAGCATGCACTTAGCCATTCCCACCACCAAATTAAATAAATAAATAAATAAATGTATGTATGTATGTATGTATGTATGTATGTATGTATGTATGTATGTATGTATGTATGTATGTATGTATGTATGTATGTATGTATGTCTCTCCTTGGAAAATGTACCCTGTCTTTTCTTAAAAGCTGAAGGATCAGGGCCTTTCAAGGATTGTTCCAGTCATGGGACAGAATGAACCTCTCTAGGCTTTGTGGCAATTTCACGAGAAATATGTACAACTACCTGGCTTTAGAGATGCTGTTTTATATTTAAGTAGTGAGTGTGTGAGAAAGAAGTTAATTAAACAGTTTAGAGAATAAGCATTTTAGTTTGCAGTTGTTAAATCAGAGTCTAAGCGAGAAAGCTCTGAGGTAGTTTGTTAAGAGTTATGCTATTAGGAAGAGCCAAGATGTATATTCATACAAATGAGCCATGAAGTTTAATGTATGTTCTCGTTGTAACTTCTGTAAAAACAAGTATCCATAAAGGCATATATAAATAACCATAAATGATTAAACTGTAAAGGGAGATGTGAGAGAAAAGAAAAATAACTTAGCTTTTTGATGAAAAAGCCTGTCTGATTGTAATTATGAATAGAGATGGGATGATAGTATTCGTCTTCCGGAGGGGATGAATACAAATATTGCCACCACAGATGGCCAAGTCAATTGGACTCTCCCCCTAAAACTGGACTGTCTACTTACTGCTTGAGCCATGGCACATGTGGTCATCATCATTTGTGTCATACCAGTCACAAAAGTAGCCAACTGGGGCTTCCGCCTCCCTGTGCTGCTGACCAATCCAATGAGGAGGTGAGATGATAAGTATCCCCTCTCAGCTACTGAGTAGTCAGAAGTGCAGAGAGGTGGGGAAGCTCTGGCAGGGCTACCTCTGCAATTGGTGTGTTGTGAACAACAACAGTCATGCTACAAGCAGTAAACAGATGGCCCAGTTCTGGGGGAAGGGTCCAATCAGCCTGGCCAATGAAACACCCATCTCTAATTATGAAACACTTATTCTTTTGTATTTTTTAAACAATAAACTTGCTTGGGTTTCAAATACTTGTAATTATTTATGAAAATACCAGTCACAATGTATTATACCATGCATGACAATAGCTGAACACATGGTCAGAAGTAGACACCTTTAGTCTGCCAAGAGATGTGGAATGAATCATCTGGGTCATGATTGTGTCACTAAAATAACATAGCCATGGTTGCATCACCAAAATAACATAGGCTGTTTGTGTGTTTCCCCAGATGTGTTCTTACACTTTTAAAGGAGGCAGTGTAAATTCAACTCTTACCTGTGTCAGTGCTTAAGCAGTATCAGAAAGGGAAGACTGGCTGTTTCCCTGGTCTGGGGAAAAGGTCTACAGAAAGCAGTCTTAAACATCAGCCCCAAACTTAGTGCAGGTGTTCAGGAGCAGCTGTCATTTTTGTGGCAGCACACAGCAAATAGAGGAAACCTCAGAAAGAATTCAGTCGTAACACTTGTGTCATGTGTGTATTGATTTGCATATTCTGATCGTGTGTAGCTTTTGCTATTGCACTGCAAAACCTCTACAGCTCTGAACCACAAGTAAATGAAGAAGATGTCCTAGGAATCCTGGCTGCTGCAGAATTATTACAGTTCTCTAGCCTTTTCCTGAAGTAAGTTGACATGGGTTTAACCTTATTTTATTTCTCTCGAGGTGGAGCTTGGCAACTAGAAAATACTAGAACTTCTTTCTTATTGCAGCAAGGTCTATGGGACGGCTGCTTTCACCAGTCAAAACTTTGCAGATCTAAAAGTTGGCTTTTTAAAAAAACACATTTATACAATGACAAATGTCTGTCTATTGATCCTAGACACTCAAGGGAGATGTTAATATCAAGTTGTTGTAGCAAAAAAAATATCTCATGGATTCCAATGCCATGATCCTCATTCAACACACAATTTAAAACATGCATTACACTGACAATCTTGATTACATATTCCCAGCCATGGTGGAAATAGACATGCAAAGAAAGGGCATGGCAGACTCATCCCTCCCCTGTCACTTTGCTTGTGTGAAAAGTGACAGTCTGAAGAGGGTTTTCTCTTCTGTGTTGGGTATGACAATGAAGCTACTGCCCCATCCCACTGCCAAATAGCATGTTTATCTATTTTTATCCGTTTTTCTATTGCCTGAACAGGGCTTTAGTTTGACTCTAAACAGTCCTTATGCAAATTATGCTCATGAACAGCAACTTCACATGACTTTTTAATACCCACTGAGGTTTTTATTCTAAAAGTAAATAGTAGCTGCATCCCATCCCTTTTTATTTGTCCCCCCCACCCCCGGGCTCCACTTTTTCCCTTTCTTTTTTCCTCCCACCCTCAATCATTTATCATTTTGAAAGTCCAGAGGAAATTTTGTTTTAAGAAAGATACATTGTTCATCAAACTCCACAGGAAGGACAGTACAAATTAAATTCTGTCTTGACTCTATTTTACCCTGTGAGCCACTTAGAACAGTTTCTCCAAGTATGTGTTTTCCTAAGAGGCTTTTGGTGCATGCAGTGAAATAGTTTGAAGGATAAAGGAGGCCATTGAAAAATGTGTTTCTCCTAACAGCAGCTCTGCTAGTGATTATATTATTGGGGTGTGTGTGGAAGAGTTAGCCCGTAGGAGGAGACCCAGTGCTAAATCACAGATACAATAGTAACCAGGGACAGGGACTTGAGTCACAACACTCACTGTCAAGTTGGGCTTAAATCGCACTGGTGACATGAATCGAGATTTGGAATCCACCCACCTGTCCCTTTTTTCTGAGGAAAAAAACAAATTGTTTTTAAGAGGGACTCAGACTTAGAGCTTGGGACTTGGGACTAAGACTTAGACTTGGACCCAAAGGCTTGCTAAAACCCCTGAGTGATGCTGATCTCTTTGGAACATGGCCCACCAAACAGATTGCATCATTGACTTCTATGCCTTTTTGTTCTCCACGCACAACTCTTACTTACAGCTTGCTTTCCTTCCTCCAGGTGTATCCAAGTCATGAGAAGCAGCATTTGTGCAGCCAGTGTCTGTAGCTATTATTCTGCGGGCTGTAAGGTGAGTTGCAAACTCCACCTATATTTACACATTGAATTGAGTTCTGAGTAACAAATCTGCATAAAACTGTACCATTGACCACATTAATCGGATCTGCGACTGGGCACTCTGTGCTTATTTCTGACATATGTTGTCTGTACAAGTCAGCAGAAATCTCTGTATAGGGGTCATTGTTTCTTTGGAGCTGACAAGCTCCTCAGTTTCCTTCCTTTGTTACCCTTCCCAGCTGATTGTCTCTTAAAGAGTATTTAGACCAGCTGTTCCATGTGTTCAATAAAACACAAAGGGAGTGAAGGTAAGATCACATCCTCTAGCCATGCCCACAAGACACACCTACTGGCTATTCCCCTTCTCAGACACATGTACAAGGTGGTTCAAAGAAGGGGGCATGCTTAGAAATGTGGAATGAGCTACATGTCAGAGCATGGCCACCAGGTTTATGGGTACTGGGGGCTAACAAGCATGATCTTGCATTCATGATGGATTACTGAATAAATGGGGATTTTCTGAACACCACCTACCTCAGCAACTCAGGGAGGAAGTAAATGATGGTAGTTCTAAAAGAAGCAATGTTGGACTCCAGATCTGAAGATGCTCGTAGTCCTCTCCAGAATAGTGACAGCCCTCCTTCTGAGTAGTCAGTAGCACTTTATTTCTTTGTTCTCTGCCAGTTGTATAAATAGATCTGTTTCATGTACAACACAGAGATGTCTTCAGACTAGTAATACAAATGCAGGAGATGTGGTATCTTTATTGCACCACTAAGTAAATCAAACAATTTGAAAGCTTTCATGGTTCTAGTCCACTTCACCAGGCCATGCACCAATATTGCAGAACAATTATTATAAATGAGAATCCCAAAAAATTATGGCAGAGGTCTGCCACGTATACTTGTTAAAATGAGTTCATCTGCTGGCTGCAAACCATGTATGAGATTAGCATGGTTTGAAACGCCACCCATTGGGCTGGAATTGTGTGAGTGAGTGAGTGAGTGAGTGAGTGATGAGTTCATCTGCTGGCTGCAAAGCATGTATGAGATTAGCATGGTTCGAAACATCACCCATTGGGCTGGAATTTTGTGTGTGTGTGTGAGTGAGTGAGTGAGTGTGAGTGAGTGAAAGGCCATGCAGAAAATATGACAGCTTCCATAGAAACACTGAGGTCAGAATTTGTGTACTCACCAGGTCAGAGAAGGCAATCAAAGCTAAATGTTAGGGACTCCTATTTATAATATTTTTTTCTGCAATATTGGTGCGTGGGGTGATGAAGTGGATTTGAATCACAAAAGCTTGCAAGTTAATTGAGGGGTATTTTTTTTTAGTTGTTTAATAAAAGTATACTCTCTGTCCTGCATTTGTATTGTGCAAAGCTAGCAGTTTGCTACTCATTAAGTAGTTTTAAATCACAATTTCTTGATGAGTGCATTTGTACATTAGTTGCATTGACATTTCATATTTTCAGCTGTACAATTCGAATTCAATTTTTTAATGAAAGAGCAGTGTTTTATTTTAGCCTTCATTTGCACGGGATATCTTAATTTCCCCTTTCACCACAAGAGGGTCCCATAGTTCAGAATTTCCTTAATGCTTTCCTTCCTCTGTTTGAAATCAGTACAAGCAACCGTCTTTGATCACTGATTGTGAAAGATGGATAGAGGTGAACCTTGTCCCACAGCTTGGCTCTCAGATTCACCTCCGGAAGGTGCCACTGGAACTGCTGCAGAAAGTGCTGAAATCTCCAAGGTAACATTGATGGGCGTATTTTCTCAAGAAGTCTGTTGTCTCAAGCCAGTGTATACACATGATATGCAAATTTAGTCTCATCAGGTTAGAATAGCATTCTACTAGAATAGTGCATAGTTGCTGCCTCTCATTGCTAGTTTGGCCTCCTGTTTTATTGTTTTAAAGAAGCGCAATTCTAAAGATGGATGGGTGGATGGGTGGGTGAGTGGATGGATGGACGGACCGATTTTGTGGGGAAATAAAGAAATTGAAACAGGTAAGAAGACTGAAGTTTGTAAAGATACTGAGTCAGGTGTCAGCCAGGACTCTGAAGTGACAAACAGTGGTAGAAGTGAACAAGAAGAGGGGAAGAAATACAGAACAACTACAAAATATGAGTTCCGTGGAAATATTTTATCCAGGCACATCATACAGTTATCTTTTTACCCAGGCTACATGTCCCCAAGTAAGAATGTGCTAGTAAAGTGTCAAATGTTTTTATGCTTCCAAGTAGTACCCAAAAGAACCATGTGTATGTTGGCTGAAAATCTAGTAGTAAGTTGCAGTTTGAGTGGGCCCACTGAGTCAATGGAGCTGATGGAGGTGTTGGCTCACCAAATTTCTGGTAATTCAACGGACCTACTCTTATTGCTATTTACTACTGGATTTCAGCCATTGTACTGTGTTCGGTCATTGTAAGGCAAAGATGCATTTAATTTGCATGCCCAGTTTGCAAATCTGATTGCTGATATGCACACTCTAAGGAAATTTCTGAGAGGGAGCAAATCTGAATAAATCAGAGGAAGCAATTCTTTGCCTCAGTGTTTAGTAGGACACTTGGGGGAGAATTTTCCCCCCTTGATACTAGTTTTTCCAGGTATACATTAGGAGAAAGAAACCTTCACTTGAGATGTGTTTGGATGGTTTATACAAAGCCAGAGGGCCTGTATCTAGCAGATACCCATGAGCCTTCTTCAGTGTTTAAAAGTGTGGGCTGTGATGGTACAAGGGTATAGATATGTCTAGTGATTGCATTTCATCCAGGATAGTTTACCTGTCATGAGCAGAACTTGGAAATACGTTGTTGTTACTACAACCCCCAGAATCCCCAGCTAATGTGGTAAGTGGTCAGCTACAGTAACTGGAGGTCATTGAAAGCTGTAGTCCTTTTTTAAAAAAACTTTTCTAATCTCTGCTGGTGAGGATGGGCTATTAGTCTCTCCTTTAGACTGGCAGGAGCCAGCACTGAGGGGAGAGGGTTAATTAGATAGTAAAAAGACCTGACGTACAGATTTCTCTTTTGTACCTTAATAAAGGTTGTTTCCCACAGATACCCAACAGCTCCTTCCCATTTTTGATTTACTGGATCCAGAAGGAAAGGATAGCTTAAGACCTTTGGGCAGCCATTCCCACCTGGGAATAAACGATACAAAGATACATGAACCCATTGGTGTGAGACAGATACAAAGGATTCCTAAAGCCCATTTGGAAAGCGCAGGACACTTCCTGTTTTCATGTTCAAAGAAACCCAGAGAAAAGATGCTGCCGCAGTGGGACTACTTTATACATAGAACATCTGATTTATATGCCAGGATCCTCCCAGTGGGACAAGTCATAGACATAAAAGCAATGTTTTGCTTTAGTTAAGTAAGAGTTTCACTGGAATTAGCTATCTGTTTCATAACACATCCGCTAGGACAGTAGCTTTCATCAGAGAAGCTATTTCAGTGTCTGTAAAGGAGAAAATGGTAGTGAGCTCAACGTTAAATTTCATTTGAAAAACAACTTGAGGACTGTCAAAATCCAAAGTAAATCAACTGTCTGGTTGGCTCAGTTTGTGCCTGGCATTGATGAAAAATTCCTTCTCTGTGAATCAAGTCATCTGAAAACTTGCTATTTAGAGAGCCTGTATGGTGTTGTAGTGTTTGAGATCTGGGAGATCTAGTCCCCACTGAACCGTGAAGTTCACTGGGTGACCTTAGGCCAGTCAGTCTTTCTCAGCCTAATTTACCTCAGAGGGTTTTGACTGTAGGGGGAAAGAGATCCCTATACACTATCTTCAGCCTGATAAAAGAAAAATATATTTGAGTGAAACTAATCAAAAGAAATAAAAAGTAACAAGGAAAATCATCCATGAAATCCACTATATAAAAAGTAGCAGTTCATAGCAAAAAGTATCATGTACCTGTACTTTGGTTCACCAATTTATATCTGATATTCCTTTGTATGTCCCTATATAAAAAAAACAGCTAACGCCATTCTAAACAATAAACTCTTATTTCATGTTTTAATATTCTTCATTTCATTTGACTTTTAAATGTTTGATTCCACATTTTTGTAACTTTTTACTGTGATAAGTAACTTTGTAAGGGATGCATTTTAATAAAATACCGAGTAATAAAAGAAAGCCAGAGAGTTGTAATATCCCTAATGTCACTGAGTACTTCACTGACATTGCTTTGGAAATCATTACATGGTCTTGTAGGCCCTTTGGCAGATGTTCCCCATATTACAGATGCAGGAGCTGATGCTCAGAGAATATGGGCCACCTAAAACTATTCCATGATGTCTCATGCAGAATTTCCTTTCCAAATTATCACTGGTGTTTTAAACCACCACATTATACCAGCATTCTATGCTAGCATACATATCAGAATATCTATATTGATGTCCCTCAGCACTCTGTCTTGTCCCCTATGCTGTTTAACATATATGAAACTATTGAAAGAGGATGTCCAGAGTTTTGGAGTTCAGTGTCACCAGTACAGTGACACTCAACTTCCTTCCCATCTAATCTGAGGAAACTGTTTTGCTTCTAAATCACTGTCTGCAGTCAATAACAAACAGGATGAAGGTGAACAATTTGAACCTTAATCCAGAAAAGGCAGAGGTGTTCTCAGTAAATTGAAAGGTGGGTTGGGAAATAAGGATTTAACTTGTGCTAAATGGGGTTACGCTTCTCCTGAAAATGGGACACCCAAGTCTTGATGGTGGCCAAGAATGCATGTCCACAGTTAAAGCTAGTGTGACAGTTGCTTCTGTTCCTGCATGTGTCTGTTACATCCCAAGTGGACTGTTGTAAACCACTTTGTGTAGGGCTGGCTATAAAAGGTGTTTAGGAATTTAAGCTGGTTCAAAACAGTGAAGCTAGATTGATGATCAGGGTCAGATATCGGGAACATATTTCTACAAAAGCTTCATGACTACTGGCCTATTTCTTGGCACAAGAGTATTGGTTCTGACCCATAAAGCCCTATATAATGTGGGTTCAGGCTATCTGAAAGACCATATTCTCCAGCAGAAGCCTACTCAAGCTTTGGTGTCCGCAGGAGAGGTCTTCTCATGGTCCTGCTATCCTTAGAGGTGCATACATATACTTTACATAAAGTTTGAAATTATGGAATGAGCTGCTCCTCCATCCTGCTCTACAAGCCTTTCCAAACAGTGGAATCCTACACATACCTACTCAGAGATAAATTCACTTCAGTCCAGCAAAAATTGTTCTTAGCTAAGCATGCACAAGATTGCAGCTGTAATAATATAGGTGTAACTCAGTGAAGAAAATAGTAACTGTGTTCCATTGAGTTGATTTTGACTTATTGCAACCTTTTCCAGGATTTTCTAGGTAGATAATTGTTTACCATTTCCTTCATATGGTAGCATTTTGGGACTGTGCACCTTTCCCAAGACTACGTAGGCTGGCTCTTTTCCCAGAAAGCACAGTGAGGAATCAGACTCCCAAACTCGGGTTACGTATATACCTAACTCAATGAGCAATCCAGCCAGCAACTCAGTGATAGCCACTAGAAAATAGCAAATAAAATTTCCTTGGGGCTGCACAGATTAGTAAATCATTATTCATGAGGAGTGTGAGAGAGAATTGAAAGCTTCCATACACTATGTTAGACTGTGTGGATATTAATTGCATAATAAAGAAGCTTTTCTTTCTTTCTTTTTAAACAAATTGATAGATGGGAGGATTTTAGTGGAATTGAGGAAGGAAGATCATGATGAACATACCCCTTTGTATAGCATTCCTATTAGAGACAATTTTTATCACGATCAAAGCTAAGGTGAGAATGGTTAAACTTCATACTGCATATGTCACAATCCCAATGAAAATCTTCTCTCTCTGCCACCTTCTTCTTCTTCTTCTTTTGATGGCATGTTTCTTAATGATGATGTATTTAGTGTCACTTTGCCTGTCCGTCTAGCCAAGTTCTGTTCATTTTTCAGGGCTAAAGTGTGGAGTTTACCAGGATTTGCATCCAAAATTATCTTTAAAAACCCACTTCTCTAAGAAAGTTGTTTCTCTTAAAAGTATATTTAAAACCTCTAGTACTGGAGAAATTTTTTTCTCTGCTGGAGCTTCTTTCTGGGAGGGAAAGTGCTAACAGGGTGCTAACTGAAAAGTTCCCACCACAAGCTTTTGCTGTGTGTATCACTACCAAATGGGAAGTAGTAAATTCCACCCTCAATCCAAAGCATGAAGGAGGAGGCGGAGAAGTCACTGCTGCTGCTTTTGGAAGGAACAAAAGGGATGGGGAAGTCCTGGGGAAAAGCACTGCACCAATAAGAGAAGGGGAATGTCTTATGGATAGCGTTGGTGGGGAAATATCAATAACATCAACACAGAACTCAACACTATAAGGAGGAAAAAAATACTCCCTGGGTCAGACTGTTGCCCTGCTGACTACGGGTGGCCCTCCAGCATTTCAGCACTATCAGGAGATGTTACAGATAGAACATGATACTTTCTGTGCATGCCTATCACTAAGTTATGGCCCTTCTCAAAATCATTTGAGAATTACAACACTGTGGTGAACACATGGAAGGCCTTGGAGGGTGGGGAGGAAAGCTGTGTGTCCTCCTCTCACATTTTGAAAACCAGTAAGGTCAAAGGTCCTTTTAATACTGTAAGTAAGGGCCAATGCAGAAAGGATGAGGGGGAGATGTAAAAGATGGTTGTTGCTCCTCTACCACCCATTTGAAATCTCTTCCCCTACTCCACTAAATCACTTGGTGACTCCCAGGGGCAGCTACGTATATACTGTATCACATCTGGGCTCTTTGTATTGAAGATGTATTTATAGACCTTCGACAGACTGCCTGCTTTTTCTTTTCCTTCCCAAAGATTCCACTTCCAGTGAGTTTTAAAGACTGTTTTTGCTCCCAAAATGTTGCTGAAAGCTATACACATTTTCCATGCTTCTGAGCCTTAAACAGGCCCTTGTCTTATCTGAACAGCTCATTCACTTTGCATTTCTCAGAAAGCAATTAGCTTCCCTCCACAACATTCAAAAGGCTGTCTTTTTTCAAGTTTCCTTGCCCCCCCCCCCATGGTGCTCACGAAAGCCTCTATCTTATAACGTTCTGTAAAAGCTGTCCGGGAACATCTTACACTCCCAGCCTACATCTGCAAAGGCTGTTTTATGTCAGGAAGGTAACTTTTCACCAGATCAGTTCAAAAAAGTAAATAAGTAACTTACAAGGTAGAGGTGCTAACTGGATAGATAGCATCCCAGGCAGACAACTGGAAAGGTACAGAAAACTCTTGACACCTGAAATGCAAGATAAGTTTGTAGGAGAATGAACAAAGGGTAGAAGTATAGGAAATCCAGAGCATCCAGCACCGCTAATGCCCATGCAGGTTTATCACTGATGGTGACAAAGCACATATTGTCCCCTGTTTTGGACATATAACATTCTACAAGGACACCTTCATGCATGACAATTCCAGGGATTGTCTGCTTAGGCCCGACTTAAAAAATTCCCTCAAATCAAAGATGGGCAACATTTTTCTACACACACATATGGCCTACTTGGAAAGACAATATATGCACTTAGCCCTAAATTCTATGGTGTAGAAATATCCAAATTGCTAATAATTTTGTATGTGTGTGCATGTGTATACATTTGAGCATGTATATAAATGTGCAGCCATCGGCTCATCCTAACATACCCAGAGCATCGCTACAAGGCTTGTGTAGCACACCTATAAACAATACATAAGGTCCATCTGAGTTACAGTTGTGGAAAATCTAATGTAAGATCTTATGTTCACTTTATGGTGACAATATTTTTATATTTTTATGAGATTAAAAAAAATTGATTACACTACTCTTAACATTGTTCTGGTCTTTAAGAATTCAAAATTGAATGTAACCAAGATGAGATCAAGCTTTCAGACAATATAAATCTAAAAGGGCACCGAGTTTAATAGTAATGGTATTAACTCAAAATACAAGATATTTTTCAAAGAAAAATCAAACCTATTTCCATCTTTAGCTCTTAATGTATTTGCTAATTTGCAAAAATTGAGCTCTCTGACATGCTGGTTTTCACATCAAATCTTTTATATGTATTTATACAGTGAAAATATGTCTGATAAGACATTAATCTATTTGCTGTAGTAAAAGAAACTGAATGGTTCAATGATTATTTTCCCCCCAAAAGAAATGAAAAAATAGTATTCAATCATCAAAAAAGAAATACAAGCTTTGAACATTATTCTTAAAGTTAAAAACTCATTGGTGTAACAATTTATTTACTATTTAAATATTATTATAAAGATGTAATAAGAATGAATAATTCATAAAGATTTTTTCTCCCCAACAGGTTATTTACTTTCAATGAATTCCATCTCTTGCGAACTGCGCTGTGTTGGGTCTTTCTGCAGCAGAACCCCAAAATTCAAATAATTCCTTCTTACGACACTGTGCTCACATATTTTAGCAGGTAATGGAATACATATGATTAATTTTATAATATTTGTTTCTCACCTATCTCTTGAAGAGCTCCAGGTGATTTTTAGAACTATTATTATTATATTTTCATAATAACATTATAAAATAGATTAGGATAAAAGAGAATAAATGTTTCCAAAGGTGTTCCTCTGAGATTTATGAGCAGAGGATTTCTTTTTGTGTTTGTAGAATTTGCAAACAGAAACAAAGAAGGAATCAGCTTTGCAATTGTTGTTGTTGTTATTTAGCCGTTAAGTTGTGTCTGACTCTTCATGACCCCAAGGACCAGAGCACGCCAGGCCCTCCTGTCTTCCACTGCCTCCCAGAGTTTGGTCAAATTCATGTTGGTAGCTTCAGTGACACTGTCCAACCATCTCGTCCTCTGTCGGCCCCTTCTCCTCCTGCCTTCACACTTTCCCGACATCAGGGTCTTTTCCAGGGAGTCTTCTTTTCTCATGAGATGACCAAAGTACTGGAGCCTATATGAGATTTTAGTGCTCTGTAGGTTTCAAATTAGTTTGCATTTGTTTGGTGATTGGTTGATGGAAGATAAGCACAGGATTCATTTTCAAGTTGATTGTGCAAACAAGAAAGCTTTGAAACCAATGTATGTTTGGAGGGATTACATTTTATCCCCTTTAAATTGCAAAACTGGCCTCTCATCTCTGCCTGCCCCAAGTCAAGCACTCTGTCCTTATAGGACAGGTGCCGTGAGCACAGGAAAAAAAAGAGAGAGTTCCCATCAATCAGCCTGGTATTGGAAGAGTGTTTGACACCTATGCTAGGTCAGTGTTGGGGGACCTGTGACTGCTCACATGTTGCCGGACCATCTCTAGCCATCAGGTCTCACAACACTTTCTCCACCTTATTAATTTTATTTTATATGCACAGCAATGTAAGATGTGTAAATAATTAAATACATGATGAATGTATACAAGATGAGTGGATTAACAACACCTTAATTCTCTCCCTCTTCTGTAATATATGGTTTGGTCTTTTGGGGTGTTTATTTGGTTGCGCCTTTCTGTTTATTGATGTTCAAAAATATCAAACAAGCAAAAATATAAACAACATTGACTGGTATTATATTTGGTTAAAATTTGTATCTGTTATATAATACCAATCAATGTTTTTTATCATTTTGGTGGACTCTTTCTGGTATTTCTGAATATCATAATAACAACAGCAATATCAGTAACAACCCCCTCCACCCACCCACCCCCACACATACATGTCCCCCTCTCTGACAATAAACAACATCTTTCCCATCTTTTCATAGCAACAAATATCTGTTGCTTAAGGCAGCTGCTTCACTATGCCTAACGGTAAGGCCAACTTTGGGCATACACTCACATTTTAATTCAGTTAAAGCTAATATGGGTTTCAAGCCTTGCATATGAAATTAGTTTTGGTCATCTTTGTTCTTTTTAAACAGATCTTCCCAACTTTGTCCATTTTTAAAATTTTGTTTTTGTTGCTACTATCCCCATGAGACATTCTTTCCTATGAGTCATGTACCCACTATAAAGAAATTACTGTTTGGCTTCAAATGGAGCTCCCATGCCTGGAAACAGCCTCTCCCTCCCTCCTTCCCTCCCTCTTTTCCTTTTCATCAAGAGATAGGAAATGAGCTGGAGTGGTGGGTGAATCATTATTTACCAGTTTGACCTAAGAAGCACTTTGTATATGAAAGTTAAAGTGGAAAATGAGGAAGCCTTATGCAATGCATATGCATAAGCTGAGTACACCCTGCAGGATCTGTGTATAGGTCCCACAAAAACTAATCAGCACCATATGGATATGCTTAAGTACTCTAGTTTTCCAACAGATTTTGCTATCTAAATGTAGAATTGCATCCCCAATAGAAGCCTAATTTGTTTTAACCTTCCTGTTGAAATATATTGCACTTCCACTTTGTTTCATCATTTACACATCTGTATTCCTTTAACTTACATAACATGTTGCAGCCTTCGACATCTGGAAAGGGACAAGAATCAGGATGTCTTTGTTTATTAAAAAGCTCTTGTTATCTAAAGCCCTCGTTATCTTTTACACTGGCATGATAATGTCAGGAGATCTCAGAAGCTGGAAAGGTGATATGAGGGAATAACTCATCAGGTTAAATCTGTGAAGATTCTCAGTCATCCAGGTGAGATTATCTGGCAGTTGAGTCATGCCAGGTGGACTTCTTTCTTATTACATTGAAATTTTTGCTACTGATTCAAACAAGTTCTTCAGTCTGAGGAGAGTTTGTAAGAGAACCCCATGTTGGTTTCACTTCCCCCTGGTCTGAATAGGCTGGTCTGAATAGGCTGGCTAGATGGACAAAGGACTGCGGGTGAGTGAAAATCCCACTTCTGCAGTCCTTCTCCACCCATTGTCATGGGTCATTAACAGTCATTAACAGTCATCTTTCTGGTGGGTGTGGTCCTGATCTTTCTGGAGACAGATGAAAGGGCAACATAATAAATAGGAGACAGGTTGTATCTAAGGCCTCCGCCCCTGTTGAGTGAGGGATTTTCTATATG